TTTTAGCTCAAATTTTTTTCTTAAAGTTAAGATATCTCCTAACAGTGCTCTATTGCAGGCTAGTCTCTTATTTGCCAAAAACAGAATCACATATCAGATCTTATATTTGCACTGTCAATGACATGAAAATGTTTGGATATTTAACATTTTCATTGTTGTTTATTCTCAGTAATCAACTGCTGAACGTTTTCAGAATTAATACGTACGAGTAGGTATAAAAGACTGACTTTCCATTTTTGTTTGTCAGAACACAGTAAGCATTCATTTATTTATTGAATGAATATTTATTGCTATCATCTCTATTCTGTTTCACTGAAGGTTTGTTTTTAAGTTTATGGCAGGACAATGTGGTTGTTACATGCCTTATCAATATTTAAAATGTTTCCCTCAGGTTGTGACTTTACTAGGCAAAATGGAACATCTTCGAAGCTCTCCCCTTCATGCCAACATCTCTACTGCTCTCAGTAGACACTTGGAGTCCATTCACGTAGTACAGTCACGTAGAAAGGATGAAATTGTTAATGCTTCAAATCGGCAAAGGCAAGGAATTCCTAGATGCCAAGATGACAGAGGTACAAATATTAATGCATATTCTTTTGAAAGGCAATGTGATAATTTGAATATTAATAAAAGCAGATTCTGAGGTTAGTAAGTTGGCTTTATAAAATTAACACTTAACTAAAGAATAAATTGGTAAATGGTCTCCACATTATTTATTCCAAAATTACTTTCACTTATTTTGTTAATTTTATCCATTTAATTATAACAACTGTCTTAATAAAACACAGTCTGTGTTCCACCCAAAGTATAGTCATTGTCATACAAGTCAGAAATAAAGTATCAATATTTCTAAGTATTTTAAATATAAAGTACTTTGGTTAGTTCAATCAGAGCCATCCTTTTGTAATAAAAATAATGTTTGAAGCCTAAGCAACATAGCAAGACCTTGTCTCTACCAAAAAAAACTACAAATTTAGGCCTGTGCTACCACCACGTGTGCAAGTCCTAGTTACTCGGAAGGCTGAGGCTGCAGTGAGCTATGATCACACCACTGCACTCCAGCTTGGGTGGCAGAGTGAGACCCTGTCTAAAAATAAATAAATAAAAAATAATAATAATGTTTGATTATTTAGTAGCAACAGCACCAGGCTTTAAGAGTTAAAGGATATTTAAGTGGCATCTAATATGAAATGACCCTGAATGTTTCTTTTACAGATGTGTTTGCCCTTGCTTCAGCAATTAAAGAGATGTGTGTGGCAACTCGGAAAGCACGCACTACCCTGTGGTGTGCACTGCAGATGACCTTGCCAAAAACAGCCACTACAGCTGGCCAAACTGATGTGGAAAAGGCTTTACAAGATACAGTAAACTGTGAAGATAAAGTCCATGAAAGCATAAATAGTAGCAATCCAATGAACCAGAGAGGTGAAACAAACAAACATTAAGGAAATGCCAGCAGAAAGAAGAATAAAAGGCTGAAAAGTAAATGTAGCAAGACAGGCTAAAAAATTTTAATGAACTTGTCAAACTTTCATTACTTAATTTTCTTTCAGATTTAAAGTTAATAGCTTAATGAAGTCTAACTTCTATTTAAAAATCTTCTATTTGGAATGAATCACATATAGTTTAAAGTGAACTCAGCAGTGAAGTTGACTACTCTTGGAGTTCTTAGTAGTTAAAGATGACAAGGTTTGTTTAAGTAAATTGAATATTTCCTAACAGCTAAAATATTGCTTTAGACCCATTCTGCAGTGCAGGTTAATGCAAATGTGAAGTTCTTCTAGGAGATCAGTTTCATTTAGGTCTGCCTTAGTAAGTAGAATTCCAAATAATGAATCTAAGTGACTGTAACCCAATTATGGCTACAGTCTAGTAACCACGTTGTGATTGTGATATAAAAGTGTTTTCCTTATAAAACTGCATAATACCTAGGAAACAAAAAGGAAAATAAGGATAAACCCAGTATTCATGTAAAAATTTAATATTTAAAATACTACCATATTTATAAATTTGAAATCTTAGTACCTAAGTATATGGAGGGAAATGCATCTGATTCTCCTAAATTAGTGATAAAAGTGCCAGTGTAACCATGCAAGTTACTGAATATAAAACCTATTCAAATCATTTGTGTATATTCTTTAAAATTTAATT